ACTCGGGAACCACAAAAACTAGGAAGCTGAAAATTTAGGGGAACGTTCCCCACCCACGTGTGACCCTGCAAATTTAATTTCAGCTCCCCCGTACCCGCGGGTAACACGTGCGGCCCCGTGAAAGTTTTTTACGGGTAAATTATTATCTCGGGAATCACGGGGTCTATGGAGCTGAATTTTTAGGGTAATGACCCCCTGCCCATGCTCAACCTTGCCTATTCAAATTCAGCGTTCCCGCGCTCTTGAGTGTCACCTACGGCCTCGTGAAAATTTTGGCAGGTAAACTATTAACTCGGGATAAAGATATTCACCCTTCAAGTTTTCGAATTCAGCTTTCATGCGTTGGTGCGTGAAATTTTTAATTGTTTTCCAAAGTTTGAACTATTTTTGCATGGACTAAAGTACAAAGCAGTGAAAATCATTAATAGGCAGTCGTTCGATGGACTGAACTGCACAAAACGCATGATCGCACCGGCTAGTCTGGTGCGCGTTGCTATTTATTTATTTAGATGTAGTTCCAAGTTTCTTGTCTCAGTCTTTTTGATCTCTCTCCGTTTTCTCTTTCTTTCGCATATCCGTCTTGCAAATTAGTTACATGACTATTCAGTATTTGATGGGTTGAAGGCTGTGATGGTGATTCTCGTTCCTATCCGCATGCAATGTTTGGTCTGTATTTACAGCTAAGGGATGAAACACAGACTGTTGCATCGTAAAATTTCTTCTTACACATGACACTTAGTGCACTCTCTCTACTGTAGAATTCCCTTGTTGATTATTCCCTGTTTATATGGTAGCTAAAAATTTCAAATTCAGCCCTCAGGCATGCATGGTACTCGCGTAAGGGCGTATGAAAGTTTTAGGGGGAAATTGATAACTCGGGTACCTGGAAAGTTAGAAAGCTGAAATTTCAGGATTGCTAGTTTCGTCTCATCATTAATTTTCAGGCTGAACATGAAAAGCCCACAGTGCACTCCTTCTCCGTCTGCATAAGCGCTTTCCTTGTTTCCAGTTCCTATCTGCAAGCAGGACCTAGCTCCTTTGCAGTCAGTAATCCCTTGCTCTCTCTCTCTCTTTGTTACGATCGCCGAGACCTAAGGATCGGCAGTTGTGCGTGTCACTACACTCTTTGGAACTTTCAGGCGCTCAGCAGTGATGGATATCGATGGCGACGTGAACGGTTCATTGTCCCAGGCTCTGTCCTGCATGGCCACCGATGATCGTGATGTGATTGTGAAGCAGTTCCAGCAGATCATTGGCGACAGTCATTATGCACCACCCGAGGCATGCGCATTCTTCCTCGATATGAACAGCTGGTAAGTTCTTCATCAGCGTTGACTTCATCCACCTGATGTCTTGTACCTGTATGTGTGGGGAATTCAGGAATCTGCAAGCTGCTGTCGGTGCCTACTATGATTATGGCAGTATGAATGGTATTGGCTTGCCGCCTCCCGAATACGTAACACGTCTGCCCTCAATGCAGTTCGTCCAGGATATCACAATTGGCGAGGTACCCCCTTTATTTCACTGTTTCTGGGGTTTCATTGTATTTAACCACTTGACAATTTCACCCTCTTCGGCGCGGCCCCGCTTGGACCATCCAATTTTGCTTCGGCTTTCTACGGCCGTTTTACTGAGACGAGCTTTATCTTCAGTTTTAGACTGCATTTTCTGTCATTTCTCCATTACATTTTGCTTATCACTTTCTGTTCCCTCTTCCTTACTCATCCCCTCCTTCTTACGCGTTTCCATGCTTTTTTTTTATTCTGCCGAGTATTGTAATAAGCGCACTTTCGCCAGAATTTTGTACTGGAAACACAAAGATGTTCAGATATGGGTGCTACAAAATTATTCGTGCATGAGAAAAAAAAAAAGGGAGAAGGGGGGAGAGAGAAACGGGCTTAAAAGATCTGGGCAGACTGACAAGGCGTTTAAGGAATGAACAGAAAATTCAACCAAGGTGATATAAACTGTGTAAAAAAGCGAAGATGGCTTTATTTTTGATGTAGGGACGAGGGCACCAATTTTTAGGATTTTTTTTTTCTGCTAGTACCTCGCTGCAGCATTAATATAATTTAATATTAGCAATTTGATATCAGTATTCAATGAAAGCCACTTTTAGACGAATTTTTATGCCATCGATGCTCTCAAAATTGATTTTAATTTTCTCGTCCACTCATTCTTTTTTGTTTTTGTTTTTCCCCAGTTATGCTAATCAAAAACAGCCAGGCCAAATCAACTCAAAAAAAAAATTCGGTTGTACAGACTTTTTTTTGAACGATTTTTTAACCAAGCACTTCGAGACAGAATGACTGATCGTAGAGAGTTTTACGAATCTTAAAAGGCATGAGTGCAATTTCACGGAAGTGATAATGCAAAATTTTTTTGCGAAAACATTTACCCCATTGGACTATCAGTTGTTTGTGGCTCTCAAGCGATACGCTGATAATTTCTAGCAACTTTTATTTATTTATTTTTTTCACAGTGTTTTCACCTATCGAAAGTTTTTTTAATGAGCTTCCTGTGTTGGGCTTATACACTGTTACTGTTGGTATGTCAACTTTTAGAGGA